CCCCGCGCTCACCACCTCTCCCCTTCCCTGCGCTCGCCGCCCTCCTTCCTGTCCCCCGCCCCTCGGCCGCCCGCTCCCGGCCCGCTCCCTCCTCCAGCCTCTCCGTTCCCTTCCCTTCTTTTTCTCCTTCCTTCGCTCCCGCCCTCCCTCCCTCGTCTCCCCCTTTAGGGAAATGAGCTCGCTGGGGGGCGGGCTCTCGCCCGGAGATCGGCCCCCTTGGGGGCCGGGACCGAGATCCGCCGGCCCGGGCGGTGCGCCAGCCGGGGCGGGGAAGACGAGCAGCCGGCCCGCACCCGGAGGAGGCTCGGGCGGTCCGGGTCCGGGTGCGGGACGCGGGCTGGAGAGGGACGCGGGCCCCAGGGTGCTGGCGGCGGCCGCCCCTGCCAGCCGCCCTCTAGCGGTGTTTCTCCCGCGCGCGCCCGGCCCGGGCCCCTCCCGGTGCGGGACACGCTGTCAGGTCGCTCTCGCCGCCGGTGCCTCGCGCTTTCCTTTGGTCACTGCCCGCGCCTCTCGGTCTCTCCCTTTCTCCGACCCTTGCTCTCTCACATCGGTCCCTGTCCCTCGAGTTATTTCTATCTCCCGCCCTCTCTCGGGAGACACCGCTGGAGGGCGCCTAAAGCCCGTTGATCGCTCCCGGGTCCCTGTCCTCACCATCACCCTGGGCCAGAGAGAATGGGAAAGCCACCTTTGCTCCTCAACGCCCTGTCCTCCCCCAGCCCCGACCAAGAGCAGGACCTCGGGGGTGTGGGAGGAGAGAAGAGGGACACCCTTTGTTTTTCAATCAGGCTGCTTTATTCTCTAGTGGTAGGAGCCCCTGGTCCCTAGGAGCCACCTCTCATCTGACTGTTCCCACCTCTCCCCCAGTTCCCATTTCTCTAGGGCCAGTTTTTGTAGTGTGACAGGAGCAGCTGCCTGCCTGTTTGCAAAAGACCTTTTGCTCGTGGCTCTTTCCGGTCCCCTTGGGGCTTCCGCATGCCCTGTAAAGCAAAGAAACACTGGAATATGTAAGGGAGAGACACTCAGGGGAGGGGGGTGCTGGGAACCTTCCCTCCCCTGAGCTCCCTAGGTGACCGGCCCCAATGGATTCCCCTGTGCCAGGTCAGCTGACAAGACAAAGTGGCCCAAGCCCTCCTGGGTCACTGCTGCTCCGGTGCCCTGGAGGTCACACCTGCTCACCTGAGGTGTCCTAGATGTAGTAGAGGGGCACCTCGCCACACAGGGTGCTCACGGTGGTGCCTAGGAAGTTCAGGTCCCCAGAGGATGCTGAGCCAGTGTTATGGCCTTCCTCCTGGCTCAGCTTAGCAGGAGGCATCTCAGGCTTACCCTGGAAAGAGCACCCGATTTGGAGCCTGGGAGCTGAGTTTCACCTGTGGCCTTCATTGTGGGACCTTAGGCATGTCAAGCAATGTCTCTGAGCCTCAGTTTCCTCATTAGTAAAGAGGGGTCTGTGCTTGAGTCAGAAGCCCCTATGTGGGCTAAATTGAGGCCAGCAGCTTGGAGGTGGGGTGGCAGGGTGGAAGTGGGGAACGGGTAGGGAAGGTGTAGAGCAGGTGAGTCTGGAGAGGGACACTTACCTGGCAGTCCAAGAGGAGCAGCACTTTACCGGGTCAGGACTCAAGCAACCTGCCCTCAACTCCTTGTGCCACACAGAGGCACTCCTAGAACTCCCAGCAGCCCTGGGAGGGAGATAATCCACTCCTTCTCACGCTCACACCCACCTGGAAGTTCTGGAATTTCCTAGTGAGAGCCTCAAGACTGGGGATGCTCTCTGGAGCCATCTTCATGATGTAGCAGCAGGTTCCCGGTGCCGGCTTGTAGGCGATCAAGAGCTGGGCATAGGAACCCCAGAGTTAATTCAGGAAGGCCCTGCCTCGCTCACTTTCTAACCCTGGTCCTACGCCATCTCCCTCTAGGTTGGACCCAGGAGGGAGTCATACTGGAATTTGGGGCTCAAGCACCCCCAGGGGAGGCACAAGGACTGGAGGATGAGGAAAGATGGGTGTGTGTGAAGTAGTACAGCTAGGTGGATCTAGCAAAGTCTTGTCATTTGTCCCCCGGGGCCAGGGTCAAGAAGTCCAGGCATACCCACCCGCTGGTAGTCATACACGACGATGCCAGTAGAGCCAATGGAGAAGGTGGCACTGGTGCCCGCATGCTCACTCAGGGCCAGGCGTTGCTGAGCTTCTGGCCCCGCAATGCTCATCTCCAGGACCTGGGGGAGGGCACAGTGCTGCCTGGTATTCATTCCCCTTTCCCCACTTGTCCCTTCAGTGCTCCTGCCCACCCTCCATCCCCTGTACTCAAATGCAATTTCTTCTTCCCTGAGAGCTCAGAGAAGCTGAGTGGAACCAGGTGCTGGAAGGAACAGGCTGTCCCAATGTGGGGTAGGGTGATGGGAAAGCCCAGGCCAGGTTTGCCACCCTGTTCCTGCCTCTGTCCTTCCATGAGGTGCCCCCCGCCTCCTCCTCTCATTCCTCTTGGGCAGTTTGCTATCTACCCAGCCCTCGCACACCGATCTGTCTGGCATGCCCTATACTTGCTGCCCAGCCCATCCCCGGCCTGCTTACCATCTCAGTATGTTTCTGGCTCATGTGAAGACCCATGAGCAGGGCCCCTACAATCACCACGACGACAAGGACCACCACCACGACCACGATGAGAAGGCGTTTGAGGTGCACAGGGCAGCAGGGGATGCCCAACCGGCCCCGGGAGGGGGCTGCTGAGTAGTCCTGATGAGGTAGGGTGGGGAGGAGACAGGTATGAAGTCATGAAGATGTCCTCTCTTCTCCCTGCACAAGCTGGACACCCTCTCACACCCTCACAGGGCTGGGCAACCTACGCTATGGTTGTGCAGAGGAAGGATAAGGAGGTCAGGGGAACTTCCTGGAGGAGGTGGCCTGGATTCCAACAAACCAACAGATGCTTAGAAGTGAGGTCTGGCTTGGAGAAACGCAAGAGAGCCCATTTCACTAATTATATTTCCAGCTGTTTCCTCCAGACCCCTGGCACCTCAGCCATGCCCACTCCCTCTCTGTTCCCCAAATAATGCATGCTCTCTCACACTCCTGTGCCTTTACACCTGCCACCCTTCTTTCTGCAGTGTCTTCCTCCTCCTCCACCTGGGGAGCTCCTACTTATTCTTCTGGAGTCAGCTCGAATGTCATTTTCTCTGTGGTGCTTCCTGTGACCATCCAAGTGGTGGTTCCCTATTCAATGCCCTCTACAGCCCCTCCCGCTGAACCATGTCGCTCATATTAGAATCACTGGCTACCACGTCTACCTCCCCAAGGGACTATGTCTTAGTGGTTGGTGTCCCTTCTCTAATTAAACACAATCCTAGGTTAGTTAAGTGAATGAATTTGGATGAGGAAATAGGCCCCGAGAGGCCCACCACACACATGCGCACACATGCACATGATCACACTCACCGGTGGGCTCTCCATCAAGACCTCTTTGCTGCCCACGTCCATCTTGCTGCAGGCACCTTCCCCTTCTCATCTCCCAAGTGTGAGACTAGGGTTTTATATGTGCCAGTAGGGAGAGGGGACAGAGGTGAAGGACCCAGCACCCGTCCGCCAGCCAAGCCCTCAGCTTTGAAGCCTGTTTGTTCCTGGCCCTCCAGAACCGTGGCCCTGATAAGGCGGCTGCAAGTGCGCCTAAGGGCCCTTGGCTCTGGCACATGAGTCCTCTTGGCCCTGGCAAAAGCAAAGCTGGGTGAGCTGAGCAAACTTGCCCTTGGGCAATCTGCGCCTCTCACTATGGGTGTCTTTCTGGCATGCCCACCTTTCTTGCTGGCACCTGCCCTGGCCGTCTTGTGGCTTTCCAGGCCGAACCTCTCAGGCAGCCAAGGAAGGGTCTGACCCAATGGGGAGCCCACCACATTTCCCAACAGAATTTCCCCCAAGCATAAGAACACACTCCAGCAAGGGGAGTGAGGGGGCAGTGTCAGTGGACCCAGATCAAGCACTGCTGAAGGCATCAGTGTGGGGGTTCATACACGGCTCATCAGTTCTCTGGGAGCATTCAGATTGTCACTTCAAGTACTCTACCTGCCTTGCTGTCTCCCACACTTCTTTACCTAGCCTCAGACTTGCCCCCAGCCATTTTTTTCCAAATTCTGAAAACTCTGTCCCCTCCGGTTACAAATTCTTACTAATATGAGGTTTTTTTCGTTCTTTGCTATAGGTTTGTTTGTAAGCTAAAGACTTTTTTTCCCCCCTGCTTTTATTTTATTTGCATTTATTTGATGCTGAATTTATTCCTGGGCCATACATTGTTGTTTCTTCAGTCTCCTTCTGTGCAAACTCCTCTTCTGGTTTAGAAACAATCTGCTTTTTTCCAGTAAAGATCGTCCCAGTATGGCAGGGGGAGCTCATGTAGGGGGTTCAACCCCCAGGAGCTCTGTAAGTTCTGTGCCTCATCTTGGGAGCTTTGTTTATCTGGATGTGCTCCATGAGCAGAAAAATCTACCTCTAAACCCTTCAGTTCAGCATTCCTCTCTGCGTTTTTAAGCACGTGCAGCAGAAATTCTGCACTCTTTTTGGACCACCGACCTGGTGTCCAGCCCCACTGTTTGACCTGGGCACACCTACCAACTCCATCATTGTGACGACAGAATGGCACATGCTGCTGTCAAGTGACCTCCTTTTAGATACTTGGTGGCTTTTTGGATATACATACCCTTGATGGCCTAGTCAGTTTCATGAGTGTTTTTAAAATGAACACAAAGATTTGAGCCTCTTGATTTGCATGACTTTGTGGGGTGTTCTGCATCAAGTGCATGGCAAATAATTTTCAGAGATCAAACTGAAAACTTTTGATTGTAGATTCCACACCTGACACTTCTTTCTTATGTCCAGAAAACCTTGCACAGGGCCCGGTGTGGTGACTGATGGGCTTCCACGCTCTTCATCCTTGAATCAGCGTACTTGCTTGGCGATGCTGTCACCCTTCCCTCTCTGCACTCTTCCTTTTACATCCTCTGATCCTAAATTTGCCTTGAGAATGCTACTCACCCAAATGGGATCCACTTTGTGGACCTTCTCCTCCCCTCTATCTCTTTCCTCCGCTTTCCCAAAGCCATCTCTGTTGCTTCGTTGTGCTAAACAAGCCTACTAATGGTTGTATCCTTTCTCTCAGGTTCCCCTTTGCTCCCTGGGCCAGGTGTGCTCTATGGCACCTTTAACTCTAAACTTTCACAAGTGTGTAAGTCAGAGCCCCACGCCTTGCTCTTCTCTTGGCCTCACTCACCTATCCTCTTTATACTGTAACTCCAACACTTCATCCCAATTCCTGTCCCTTGCTCAGGGGCTCCCTCCCACCTTGGCCCTGCCATTCAATCATGAGCAGACCCCCAACTCTTCAGCCCTGGCAGGTTTCCCCGTCCCCACAAGAACCCCCTTTCCAGCTGGAGGGCCTTCAGCCTCCAGATTGCACAACAGCATGGCATCTGAGCTGAGAGCCCCTGAGAAGCTTGGGGAAGGAGAGAAGGAAGAAAATGTTTGCTCCCACTACCCTCCTCACCGCCTCCCCTCAACTGCCCCTTTAAATATTTGCCTAAGCCTCTAGGAGCAAGTGTCCTAGGAGGACTGAAAGAGGGGGAGAGGGGTTCATGAAGGAGGGGGAAGCAGCCTCCTCTCAATTGTGTGCAACCTCAGCTTTGTGCAGGTGCCAGATGCAGGAGACAGCCCCCAGAGCCCCCCACTCCCACCCCCAGTTGTCCTGGCAACACTGGGATTGATAGGCTGACTCACACATACTGGGCCTGCGCCAGGTGGACAGCAGGCCAACCGGAGGGCCAAGGATAACTGCAAGCATCGCGAGGTCCCTGTGGGCATTTCAGGGGACTGCCTAGTCCAGCTGTGGGGCTCGTTCTGAACAGGTGCTGTTGGTAGGGCTTGCCATTATCACAGGGTGCTGGGAGAGGGGGTTCTTTCTGGGAAAGAAACCTCTGTCCTCTCGGGTCCTCAGTCTCCCCTGCAGGCTGCCTTTAGGCTGTAGTTCTCATAAGCTTTATAGCCCTTCCTTCCTTCCTTCCTTCTTTCCTTCCTTCCTTCCTTTCTTCCTTCCTTCTTTCCTTCCTTCCTTCTTTCCTTCCTTCCTTCCTTTTTCCCCTTCTCTCCTTCTTTCCTTCCTTCTCTTTCTTCTTCCTTCCTTCCTTTTTTTTTTTTTGACCTCTTTGGAGGTTGGGAAGGAAGGATGCCTTCCAGTTTCATAATGGAAGTTCAGATGCTGCCAGCAACCTGGTAGAGGTCTTGGGAACCTTGGAGAAGGAAGGAGGGAGAGACCTTTAGCTGGTCATGCATAGCTGTCCCTTTGCCCCTCACACTAGCCCTCTGCTGCAGGCTTCTCACTTCTTGGCCTTTACTTAGACCATTTTTCCCTTCTGAAAAGCCCACCCTCGACATCTCTCCACCTCTCTGAATACCACCCACCCGGAAAGGCCAAACAAGAACCAACAGCACCTACTCTGTGACCTTACCGCTCCAGCCTACTGTGTCCCATCTCTTCTCCAAAATCTCCCAGCCTCCCTGACACATGTTTACCTGCCACTAAACACTCACTGATGTTCTCATCAGCTATGTGGGTGCTTTTTGTTGCCTTATCTTCCCAACCTGGCTGCCAGCCACGAGACCGGCCCTGGGATCAAGTTTTCCTGAGGATTCCTTGTACCTGCCAAGGGCAAGGAGCGTGCGTGCACCCAACGTATAATTATAGTCAATGATAAGACTATCCCCAAACATGTGGGGTCTGGTTGACAAACAGTCAATAGTTCATGCCTTCAGTTTGTGGAGGTCTCGGTGCTTCACTGGCCTGCTCTGAGACCCTGCATGAGGCGTTCTATCTTTCTAGGCTTTAGAGTCCTCTTCTGTGAACTGGGACTAGTACTGCCTGTCCTGTCCTCAACTCCAGGCTGTTGTGAGGATCCAATGACATCATGATGTGAAAGTCCAATCGTCATGATTATTCCCATCTACTTCAACTCCCAGGGCAGTTCTTACTAGCTAAGAGTAGGACCCAGCCTCTCCGTTTTTGTCTGTCTCTGGGTTAAAGTCTCTGAGAACTGTGGCAGTGGAGAGCCCCACAATAGCCACTCCTTCTATGTGTGTCTTCCCTTTTCCTCCTTCCAGCCCCTCAGCTGCAGGGGCGGGACAAGATTCACTCTGCCCTTTGTGTCCTGGGCAGAGCCGTGCCAGGGACGAGTGGAGATGGTTTCCCAGCTGCCCCAACCACCCTCCCCACCCCCATTGCTTGTCTTCCCGCAAGCTGGCATGGAGAAGGCAGCACGGGAAGCTGGGTGCGTAGTGGCAAGTGAGCATCAAAGGGCCGGGGCTTCCCTGTCTGGGAGAACATGAACTTAAGCTCAGACCAGAGAATCCCCTTCTGGCAGATGCTGGGGTCAGCTGGGAAAGCATCTTAAACCCAGTGAGCTCGGTTTCCTGAACTGATGTGTAAAGAGCACCAGACGGAGCCCAGTCACCTGACTTCCGAGCTCCCCTTGTCCTGTACCTGGGAGCTCTTGGGACAGTCATGCCCTTCTCCCCACCACCACCACCACCATACACTCACACCCCTGGCAAATAACATGTTATAAAGCAGCAGTTCTCAAACTTTTTGGTTTCAGGACTCCTTAACACTCTTAAAAAGTATTGAGGACCTCGAAGAGCTTTTGTTTATGTGGGTTATATCTATTATGATATTTACTGAGAAATTTTAAAAATATTTATTAATGAATTAAATGAAAACAGCAATAATAAGCCCATTACATGTTATAACATAAATGTTAAATAAAATTATTTTACAAAGCCAAAAAACAATTAGAGAGAAGAATGTCATTGCCTTACATTTTTACAAATTTCTTTCATTTCTGGCTTAATAGAAGATATATCGTGTAGCCTCTGGAAAATTCCAGGGTACTTTGTGAGAGCATGAAAGTGAAAAGGGCAAATAACGCCTTTAAAAAGGCGTTTTTGTTTTGACCTCAAAGGGTCCCTGAAGAGTTCTCAAGGACCTCTGGGCTGCCTGGCCCACACTCTGAAAACCCCTGGTGTGGAAGAACAGCTGTGAGCTCTAGAGTTGAGCAGAGCGGATTTAAACTCCTGCTCTGTCACTTTTTCCGCCCCTTGGTACCACAAGTCTTACTTTTCTTATCTATAAAAGGGGATTAATATCATCTGCCTCAAAAGGTGGAGAGGATTAAGTAAGTAAGAGTCCACAACACATAGTAGGTGTGATATCAAGCTTGGCTACTTTCTTCTTGGTCCTGGCCTCAGTTTCCTCATTTCGTAAACACAGGGCTGGACTGGAAAACTTCCAAGGCTCTTCGCAGCTCCAACAGGCTGTGGTTATGTGGTGAGAAATGCTCCAGGATTCCACACATTCTCACGCCAGCTCCAGGGATGACGTTCCCTTTTCAGCTCACACACACACAATGGCACATTCTGTTCATGAGCTGTGGAAACAAATGTGAATATAAACACGCACCTGTCACTTCTCATATGCCCATGAATCTGTTTAGAAGATGTAGCCCCTGAGGGCCAAGGCATACACATGGGAACACAGAGGCGCATAGATCCCTAATGCAGAAATGCCTCACAAGGGGATCTGTGCATGTGCCTGCAGAGACAGGTGTACACACGTGCACGCAGTCATGCCATCTAGGGTGCACATGTGTACCTCGCACACATGCACAGACGCTCTGGATGCCAGACGCAAGCAGATGGCCCAGAGACCTCCCGTAGGGCATGCAGCATAGACCGGCCAGGGCCGCAACCACTCCCTTCTTTGGCTACTCCCAGCCCGGGACTCCCCCCTCCGCCCTGCGCGCCCCCGCGGCCGCCGCCGCAGTCCGCAGCCATCCCAGCCCGGCAGCCCTCTGCTCCGCTACTCTCCGCGCATCAATCCGAGTCGGTTCGCGGGAGCGAGCAGAGGAGGGGACCGCAACCTGCACCGAGAGCTAGAGGAGTCCGCTCTCCGCAACCGGCAGCCGGGCCCCTAGCTGCGGCAGCGGCCGCCCGTGGCCAGGCGGTGCCAACCCGCAGGGTGGCGGAGAGCGGTGGGGCGGGGGCGGCCGGTGGCCGGAGGCAAAGCTTGCGGGCAGCATGGCGGGGCTGCGGCCCAGGCGGGGCTCCGGACTCCCGCTGCTGGTGCTGTCCACGCTTGGCTTCTGCCTGATGCTGCAAGTCAGTGCCAAGAGGCCCCCCAAAACGCCCCCCTGCCCCCCCAGCTGCTCCTGCACCAGGGACACGGCCTTCTGCGTGGACTCTAAAGCAGTGCCCAGGAACCTGCCCTCCGAGGTCATCTCTCTGTGAGTGCCCAGCCCTGGCTTGGGGGTTAGGGGTCGGGGGTGGCGGTGAGCCAAGATGGGAAGGAAGGCATGGACAGCTCGGGAGTGCATGGGGAGAACCCCGCTTCCCCTCTACAGAATGTGGGAACCAGGAGGACTCCAGGGGGTCCTCAGACCTGGAGATCCAAGGTATCAGCCAGGCTAGGAGTTCTGCAGTCATGCAGGCTCAGCAGCCATGGCTGGGGAAAACAGGAGTTCATGGCCAAGAATGAATCACCACCAGCAGCATCAATGAGACCTACTATGTGCAGGGCTCAGGGCTGGGGAGGAGGGAGAGAGTTGTTTACCCCAGCATGTGGGCCCCTGCCTGTGATGTCATACCAAGGGCAGAAAGGCTTCTTGTGTAGGGGGAGGGGATGAGGCAGCAGGGGGAGGGGTAGAAGTGAGCTACACCCCACAGCACTCTGGCACAGGGCAGACACCTGCCACTGGTCTCACCAGCCACTCTGCGCAGGGCCAGTCAACCTGTCACTTGCAGCGGCAGCCTATGGAAACAGGCTGTGTGGTCCTTGAGAGCACAATGCTAATCCCCCCACTCCCATCCCTGAGTCCCACCCCTCAACAGAACCCAGCGCAACTGTGGGTGTCTGGAGGATCATGAAGGTGTGGATAATGGAACCTTGTGGCTGAGGGAGAAGCTGAGCCTGGGGCCACTGGTGCTCAGGGAGGTAGTAGGGGCGGGTAGTGATGAAGGAGGGCAGTGAGAAGAAGGGAAAGACAGCCCCAGGTGGAGGGCCAGGCTGGTGAAACAGGGAGTTTCCAGGGCAAGTGCCTATAGACGCCATTGCCCTGTCCACCTCGCACCCCCCAGCCCCCCACCCCCAGCAGCCCCTGCTTACTCCCCACAGTACTGATTCAGGTGTCCCCTGCAGGACGCTGGTGAATGCTGCTTTCTCAGAGATCCAGGACGGAGCGTTCTCCCACCTGCCACTGCTGCAGTTCTTGTATGGACAGGGCCCTGAGGAAGGCGGGTTGTGGGTGGTGGAGGAGGGGAAAGCAGGGGGGACAGTGAGAGGAGACAGATCCTGGATTGGGGAGAGGAGAACCCATGCAGGTAGCCTTTGGAGATGAAGATGCCTTACATGTCCGATGGGATCTGCCAGAAAAGGTGGAGCAGCCTGGAATCAGGAGGGGTGGAGGGAGCAGCAGTTGGGGAGGAGGGCAGGGGTCGCATGCAAAAGCCAAGAAGTGGGTATTTGGGGCCCAGTGAGGAATGGAGACCCAAAGGAATTGGGTGCAATAACTTGGGCTGGTGCCAGAGGGTGGACACTGCAGGGGAGAGGGATCATAGTAAAGACAGGGGAGCCCACGATTTGAAGAAAGAGCTGAGGATCCGAACAGAAGGAAGACCAGAGAGCCTGAAATTCTAAAAGGGGCTGTTTACATTCAAAGCCCCAGTCACAAGAGAGTGCACATGGGAGTTGCCCCACCTCCTTCTCTCCATCAGTCCCAGATGGAGGGGTGGGGAGTGAGGACAGGAGACAGAGAGCAGAGAAACAGTGGGGAAGGACCCAGCTGGTCAGCAGAAATCGATACCTACTGTTTTTACCCTAGGAACAAATAGGGACCCTGGGAGTTTCTGGGACCAGAATATTGTTATCCAAGCTACTCTGGGGTTCTCTGCTGGGGTCCCAAATTTGGGAGGCAGGGCAGCCAGGCCTTGAGGAAACACAGGGCTGAGGCAGCAGGCATGCCCTTGGAAGCTCTACTTTTGCCTTTGTCTCTCCAGGTTACTCAACTCCAATAAGTTTACGCTGATCGGAGACAACTCCTTCACGGGACTGTCGCATCTGCAGTACCTGTGCGTAGAAAGGAAATGGGGGATGGGGAGTCAAAGGGAGAAAGGAGGGCCTGGGTGGGCTGAGAGGGGAGGTCGACTGAGGAAGGCTGGGGTAAGCAAGAGCCCTTGAACCCTCTGACTGCAGGACCCGAGCAGAGGTCATTTCATCCATCCCTCTATCTAAACCATCCTGCCTGGATACCCTGTCACCACAGGCTTAATAATCCCCAGATTTGGAATGGAAGCCTGTCTCAGGGCCATGGGTTGGAACCTAGGTGGGGTGTAGGGGAAATAGGTTGGGGATGTGGTCCTGAAATCGTGACTGATGACGGAAACAATTCTCATTTCCTCCAGCTTCATTGAGAACAATGACATCTGGGCACTATCCAAGTTTACTTTCAGGGGACTCAAGTCTTTAACACACCTGTGAGTACATCCCGCACATACACTTGCTGAACCCAAGCCCCACCCCACCCCACCCACACCCACCCCATCCCCATCTCCTATGGCCTTTGGCCTCCATCATGATGACCCAGAGGTCTGTCTTGCAGCTCACTGGCCAACAATAACCTGCAGACGCTGCCTAGAGACATCTTTCGGCCCCTGGACATCCTGAGTGACTTGTAAGGCTTGAGTCCCTCGTATTTTTAACAGTGCCACAGAGGGGCGTGTCCCTGGAGGCAGTGTTGTGGGAGCCAGGATGGGGAAGATCATAAGGTCGTGAGAGGCTGAAAGGCTTGGGTTGTGGGAGGCTCCCGGAAGGCTAGGCTGAGTAATAGATATATCGGCAGGCTTCTAAGTTAGGGTTTCTCATGGCATCTGTGGGCCCTCTTAAAATGCACGTGAGACACTATGTGCGTGTTTTTTTAAACATGTGCTTTCTGAATGTATGTTTGATTTGCATCTACATTCAAGTCTGGTCACATAGCCACAGTCAATGATCAGTATTTACACAAGAAAACAAAAGCCCTGGGTGGGAGGAACTGGGGTACAGAACAGAGTCGTGCAGTTTATACACTGCGAAAGGCACCTGTCTAAGGAGGTAAGTAGGGGCTGAACGGAGCCCCCACTCCACGGGCCAAGCATGTGTCCACGGGGCTGCATCCATCCTGAGGGGAGCCCTTTTCCAATTGGCACAAAGATGCCATGTGAGCAACCGGCAGCAGCCTTGATAATATCTGCTTCTGAAACCTCAAGGGCCTGGGTGGGCCGAGCAGCTGAGAACCTGTCCCCCTTTGTGTCCCCTCCATCACCATCACGATCAGGGACCTGCGGGGCAACTCCCTTCACTGTGACTGCAAGGTGAAGTGGCTGGTGGAGTGGCTGGCACACACCAACACTACAGTGGCTCCCATTTATTGTGCCAGCCCGCCCCGCTTCCAGGAGCACAAGGTGCAGGACTTGCCACTGCGGGAGTTCGACTGCATCACCACAGGTAGGAGGTGCCCCTGCCTCTGTTGGCCTCAGGCTGGGCCTCCCCAGGGCAGCTCTCCAGACACTGCCTGAAACCTCCAACCTCCTGCCTCACCAGCAGAGCAACCCTTACCTCCCAGCAAGCTCTTACTCCCCGCCCACCCCCATCCCTGCAGATTTCGTGCTGTACCAGACCCTGTCCTTCCCGGCGGTGTCAGCTGAACCTTTCCTTTACTCCAGCGACCTCTATGTGGCTCTGGCCCAGCCGGGTGCCAGTGCTTGCGCTGTCCTCAAGTGGGACTATGTTGAACGGCAGCTTCGAGACTATGATAGAATCCCAGGTACTTGCTCCAGGCCTGGCTGTGCTGGCTGGGTGGGTAGGCTCCATTGTTCATCTTCATTGAGTTTCTATAGGGAGAAGGATAGATGAGACATAGTCTCTGCTCATAAGAATGTTTCAGTCTTTGGAGGGAGGCTGATGCATACACAGATAACATCCACAGAATAGTTGGTGCTAGGAGGGAGATAGGAACACCATGCTCTGGGAGCACAAAGGAGAAGCCTACCCTGGGAAATCAAGAAAGGCTTCCTGGTGAAGGGATGTCTAGCTGAGGGCACCTCTGAAGGATGGGTCAGAGGTGATGACCAGTTTCCTGGCTTAAGTAACTGGGTGGTGCCAGTGAACTACGGAGGAGGCGATAGGAGCGGCTAGTGAGCTCAGTTTGGGATCTACTGAGTTTAAGCTGAGTCTAGAAGGCTGAGGGAAACTTAGCTAGAAGGAAAAAAAATGTGGGAAGGGTGTTCTGGCAGAGGGAACAGCATGTGCAAAGTCAAGAAGGTGTGCAACAGCATATCGTGTGCGTGCGTGCAGGCACGTGTAAACAATAAGCAGCTAATGTGACTGCAGCTTAAGGTTCAAAGTGGAAAGTGGCAAAGGAGACATGAGAGAGATGCGGACCAGGTCAGCGACAGGCTTTGAGAAAGTGTGTGAACCAATCCAATGTGTGTTTTAGTAAACTCCCTCTGTGAGCATCATGGAGAGTGGCTAGGCATGGGGTAAGACATGGGGCAGACCAGTAGGGAGGGTCAGCTGGAGCCTGGACTGAGGCAGCAGCAGTGGGGATGGAGAGTTATATTTAGAAAAGAGGATTTGAACTGACACAAGAGGAAACAGAAAATTTAAATCGCCTTGTTATCTTCAAAGAACTTGAAGTCATTATAAAAAAAAACAACAAAAAACAACCCTTCCCCAACACAAGACACCAGGTCCAGGTGGTTTTACTAGTGAATTGTAGGAAACATTTAAGGATGACATGACATGAATTTTGTACGAACTGTACTAGAAAGTAGAAGGGAGGGTTGACAGGACTGGGGGACTAATCAGCTGTGGGCGAGTGAAGGACTCCCACATTTCTGGACAGGGTGACTAGGTGGTGCCACAAATTGACAACGAGAAACACCGGAGGAGAGGAAGGAGAAGTTTCAGGGGTAGATGTGGAGCTCGGTTTTGGTAAGCTGGAGTTTGAGGTACTTGAGTGTGTGTGGGCAAGGAGGGTCTGAGCTGCCATTCAGGAGCTGGGCAATCATCAGGAGTTGTGCAGGCAGACCAAAGCTATGGGAGGGACCTGGGTGGTGACTGCCAGAGCCTGAGATTCAGCATAAGATTCCCTTGGGGGGTGGGGGGCAGGTGATGGAAGGGAGGAGGGCAGATGAAGGCAATGACTGGCAATACCAGGACAGGTGAAGAGTGTGGCCCTCTATGCTCTAGGTGCCTGGGAAAGGGTCAGGCCAATCTGGTTGTGAGCACAAGTACACTTGTTCTCGTGCATAAAAGCCTTTCAAAAGTGGGACTTCTTGGGAGAATGTATTTTCATACACAGCTCTCCAGACATCAAGCTGTCATTTTGTACCCAGCTGCGGATGAGCTCAAACACTCCCTTCTTCCCCTTGCCTGGCCACTTGCCAGCGGGGTAGCTTTGGGCAAGTCACTTAGACTTGGAGTCTGTTTCTTTCTGTGTGAAATGGTAAAATAATAGGGTGTGTTTCAGAATGATTAATTGAGGCAATGCGTTCATACTTAGCACAGTTACTGCACACAATATAATTTCAATAATTGACATCATGGTTGAACAGTTGGTCAATATCTAGGAAAACCTATTATGTGCTCAGTGTCAGCTTATATTTGAACCCTGGCTGCAAGGGTGGAGGGGGGGGTGATGCTGAGATTGATTATTAGCTGTGAAACAATTAGATGAACTTCAGGGGAGAGGGGCTACTGTAGCAGAGGGCCTTAGCCCTGTCCCAGTGGCAGAGGGGACTGACCCTCTTTTCTGAGGCTGTGGTATGGGCAGGGCATTTGGCGCATGCGCTGCCTGACGCTGCCTCCCTGCTTCCTGGCAGCCCCCTCTGCGGTGCACTGCAAGCCCATGGTGGTGGACAGCCAGCTGTATGTGGTGGTAGCCCAGCTGTTTGGAGGCTCTTACATTTACCACTGGGACCCCAACACCACGCGCTTCACCAAGCTGCAGGACATCGACCCGCAGCGCGTGCGCAAGCCGAACGACCTGGAGGCCTTCCGCATCGATGGCGACTGGTATTTTGCCGTGGCGGATAGCTCCAAGGCCGGTGCCACCAGCCTCTACCGCTGGCATCAGAATGGCTTCTATTCCCACCAGGCCTTGCACGCCTGGCACCGCGACACCGACCTGGAGTTTGTGGATGGTGAGGGCAAGCCTCGGCTGATTGTGTCGAGCAGCTCCCAGGCTCCCGTCATCTATCAGTGGAGTCGCACCCAGAAGCAGTTTGTGGCCCAAGGTGAGGTGACTCAGGTGCCTGACGCCCAGTCTGTGAAACACTTCCGTGCCGGGCGTGACAGCTACCTGTGCCTCAGTCGCTACATCGGGGACTCTAAGATTCTTCGCTGGGAGGGCAGCCGCTTTTCCGAGGTGCAGGCCCTGCCCTCCCGGGGCTCCCTGGCTCTGCAGCCCTTCCTCGTGGGTGGCCGCCGCTACCTGGCGCTGGGCAGTGACTTCTCCTTCACCCAGATCTACCAGTGGGATGAGGGGCGGCAGAAGTTTGTGCGGTTCCAGGAGCTGGCTGTGCAGGCCCCTCGGGCCTTTTGTTACATGCCTGCTGGGGACGCCCAGCTGCTCCTGGCCCCCAGCTTCAAGGGACAGACACTTGTGTACCGACACGTAGTGGTGGATCTCAGTGCCTAGAGGGGTGCCCAGACCTCTGGGTTGGAGGCTGAGGGGGAGCCTCTGTGTGAGCAGCATGTGTGCCCATGTGAAGACACATGTAGCCAACCTCATGCACACACACTTTCCTGGTGAGCATGGGCACCACGTGGATTGGCCCTGGGAGCCACGAATCATAGTTGTAATCAGCATGAGGCCTCATATATACACCAGGAAACCCAGCGCCTGGGGCCCTTCTGTCTGTGGACACCTGTGGGCCCCACACCCCATCTGCAGGCCCCCTTGCTCTGCCTTCCACATGCTCTAGCCTGGGGAGGGGTAGGGGTGCTGGGAGGGAGGGTCTTGGGCTACTCCTTGTGACCCTCTGTTCTCTCCTGTTATCTGTTCTCTCCTGTTGGTGCTCCAGGTGTCTGTTTAACCTGTTCATGCCCCACCTAGCAGCCATGACCACATCCTTCCTACTGTGGGTATACTCGCCCACGCTCTGCTCCGTCTGCATGCGCACGTGGACACTGGCCTGCACCCTCAGTCACACACACACACACACACACCTGTCCACACCCCTGATTTCCCTGCAGATTCAGCGTGGCCGAAAGGGGCTCCCCATCATTGTCTTGCCCCTCTTCTTGGAGGGGGCACATAGTACTGTCCTCCTCTGCTCACCCCTAGTATGCCGACCCTGCAGCTGATAAGGATGGGAATAGTGGTGCCAGCCTCTGAGCACCAGCTTGATCTCCTGGGGGCAAAGCCCTTCTGCCCAAAGCAGTAACAACAGCCCCGGCAGACCCTGATTTCTTCCTAGTGCTGGCTCTGTTCTCACTGGATTTTCCTTCTCTGACCCTTCATGGACAGGAGACCACCCAGACAAAAGCTTTTCTGCTTTTCTTTCCTGTAGCTGTCCCAGCCTCAGATCCCCACCCCTTGGTTCAGCCCCTCCTTTGAGATGTGGACCCCGAGCTGTGCTGGCTTCTTTGGATGGGTCCAAGAGCTGGTCAAGCCAGGGGCCCTGCAAGCACTTGAACCATCTGGGTGGATGCCAGGAGTAGAGCTGGACTGGAGAGCATCTTGGGGTCCCTGGCACCCCTCCCGTCCACAGAGGCACACACCAGGGCAAACTGAGTGGTAGAGGGGTGAGAGCCCTATGGAGTGGCACCTGGGAGCCAAGCTTCTGCTGCCCTCTGCTGTGCGCTGGGGATAGCTGTGAGGTGCAAGGCGGGTAAAGAAGGCATGGGGAGGGTAGGCTCTTCCTGTGCCCAGACTGTGTGAGGGGCTCCTGGTGGCAGGATGCTGGGGGCACTTGGGGGCAATGCTATAATTCACTTGCTTCAAATAAAAAGTTCCCACCCCATTGCCAGCTCTCAGGTGTCCAGTGGCAACGGTCAGCAGTAGCTGTTTCATCAAGAACCAAGCGTGTTTCCTGTCTTTGCTGCTCCCAGGGGGAAAGCATTGGCTTTCAGACCCTAGTCCTCCCTGTTCCCTTCCCTCCGAGGAGTGAGTGGACACCCCCAAGGTCAGCTGGTGCTGGGGTCAGGAGTTCATGGTGATGACACTCAGGCCAATGTGACTAGTCTCCATCACCTGGGGCTGACTCATGGCCCAAGTGTTCCTTCCTGGAGATCACAGTTTTGGGGCCACTGAAACTGGAGTCTGTCCCTCTGTCAGGTCAACAACTCCAATCAACATGACCAAGGACAAGGTCAGCAGTCCCTTTCCTCCCCACCCCCTCTGCTGGGTAAATGTCCATCATCACTGTCACCCTCTACCCTGGGTGTGAGATTTCAAGCAAATGGACTGATATCCTGGAGCCTGAACTTCTCTCTCTGCAACACAGATGGTAAATCCTACTTGGTCAAATCTCGAGTGGGCCACTTGCTAGCTGGGTGGCCTCAACCACATTACTTAGCCTATTTGTATCTGTTTCCTCATCTTTAAAATGTGGATAGTCATGATACTTAACTGACAGGGTTAGCGTGAAATGTAAATGCATTCAACATCTAGTCTATTAATATATGCAAGACACTTTGAAAAGTGTGTCTGGCACAGAAGCAGGATTTTTATTGGTCTGTAGGACTATATGAGACACAGAGGAAGCACAGAGAAGGCTGTTTTGTGGGAGAGAAGCGTGCCCTTTGGGGAGAACTGCTGTCTGTGAATTAGAGTTCTTTATCCATCCTTGGTCTCAGAGCCCCTGTACTCCACATCTTACCTGTAGTCTCAGATGCCCAACCAACTCTGCCCCTGGCCACCTATCACAATGGAGGATCTCATAGGTGATGTGGCTGGGTTTCTGTTTCCTCAAACCATATTCAAGTGCCCTTGGCTTAGCAGGCACCCCATCGGGTCCCCCAGCCATACTGTCCTGGGAATGCCTGTCCTGCTTGTTCAAGTGGGGAATGGGCCCTCATGCTGTGCCAAGGAGAGGTTGCCAGGGAGAGTGGGTTGCGTCTCCCAGACACGTTGGCAGTCCATTGCCCAATAGAAAGATAAACATCACTCTGACTGTCACCTCCACACCCCCACCCCGGGTTTCTCCCAAGGATGCGAGACACTTCTCTCCCTGAAGGCCTAGCTCTCTGCACATGGGGAATGAAATCTGCTTTATGTTTGCCTGGTCACCAGCCCTGGGGGTCATCCGTGTGTCCAGAGAGCTGCTTAGCAACCCAGTGTAACCAGGTGACTGTGTCAACAGCTCAGGACCAAAGGCCATGGGAGGCAGAATCCACTCACTCTGTGAAAGCTGGGGAGGATGACACCCCTCCAGCTGCCAGCCTCATGTTCCTGCATGCCAGGCCCTGCTCTCAGCAGCAGATTTCTCACAACTTGTCTCTTAGATTTCCCAAGCACAGTCATTGGGGCCAGGAGTCTACATGTGAGGTACTGTTCCAGCTGGGAGGGCTCTGAGCTGACACAGAGGAGCTTTCCCCCAATGAACGGGGTAGAGAGAGGCCTATGATGCTGAGGTCAGGCTGGTGACTCTAGAGCAGCGGTTCTCAACCTGTGGGTCGCGACCCCTTTGGGGGTCGAACG